CCTCACGCCGGCTTGACTCTCTCTCACTTCTTGGCTGCGCTCTTGGACTGACGCGTGCCCCTCCGGTTCAACGTTTATCCGGGGCAGCCCGCGCTCCTCAGCAGCTCTCTCCTTCAATTCGCCCTTGGGGCAGGCCTTTGTGACGATGGTCTCGCTCTGTTGGGATGCGGCAGCCACGCGGTTCTCCGAATTGCCGCGGTAAGCTGTCGCCCTCAAGTTATCCTCGTGTTCCCACTTTTGTCGCTTGGTAGCCCGCGTAGCTGACGTCCTCTCAACGCCCAGCCTTGCCTTTACCCTTCGACCTTCAGTATCCTCCTACAAACGCCCTCGGGGCAGGCCTTGTGGCTGACGTCTTCTTGACGTCCAGCCCTTGTTGCCCTTGGGGCGGCCTCTTCGCTGTCGCACTCCGGCGCACAGCGGAACGAACTCGGGTGCCCTCGGGGCAGGCCTTGCGGCTGACGTCTTCTTGACGCCCAACCCTTGTTGCCCTCGGGGCGGCCTCTTCGCTGTTGCACTCCGGCACACAGCGGCTTCCAATCTGCTCCTCTTGGGGCCTCACACGCAGTTGACGTCTTCGTGACGTCCCGCTGCGCTACCCTTCGAGTGTATCTTGCATCACCCTCTGCGCTCTCAGCTGCTTTGGGGGGCCTCCAAAACTCCGCCCTTCGACTTCACGTGCTCTTCTCACTCCCTTGAGGCCCTGCCGCCTCTTGTCGTGGGTCAGGTCAATTTGGAGCGCCTTCGTGTCCTCGGCAGCTCCTCTGGCTCCGAAACCAATTGTAAGGGGCGAATTGTTTGTCCCGTGTGGCAGCGACTGAAAGTCCTGAGCGACGGGCTCATGGACGGCTGCGAGTATCCGTGAGGGAGGTGGCAAGGGAGCGGCAAACGGCTCTGAAGTGTGGCGGCAATTTTGGATTACAGTTTGGGCACTTGGGTGCCCTGTTTATATAGGCCGTCGGCTGGCCAGCCGAGCGGCCGCTGACATGATTATTACTTGGGGTTTACATAACCCCTTTGTCAGCGTGTTGTGCCCCTTGGTGTCCCCATTTGTCCCCTTGGTTCCCCGTGTGCCTCCTTGGTTCCCGTCGCACCCTAAGCGACCCATTGTCTCACCCTATTCGCAGCCCTAACCATCTGTCTATGGTACACACTGATTTAATACAAGGGATTGCCTAGTGCATTTGAGCATTCTAAGCTACGGCCCTCACAAGTACAATGATTTCCTAAACTACATGGCTATTCCCAGCTCTGGCCCTCACAACTACCGCCTGAATCCGCGCATATTCCGGGAGGTCGCCCGCAGCTTCGGGGCCTGTTCTGTGGACCGATTCGCGTCCGCCCGGAATGCCCTCTGCGCCCGCTTCAACAGTTAGTACTGGGACGTTGGTATGGCAGGAGTGGATGCTTTCCAGCAGGACTGGAGCGGCACCAGGTCCTGGTGCAATCCCCCATGGAGCCTCCTCGCGAGGCTCGTGTCCTTCCTCGCCTTATGGCCGGAGCTGGAGGCGGTGGTGCTAGCCCCGGACTGGCCGAGTGCGGTGTGGTTTCGCCCGCTCCGCGCGATCGCCCGGGCGGAAATGTTCATCCCTTGCCAGGACGACTTGTTTCTCCCCGGCGACCCGAGTCTCCTGGCGCCTCTGCCCCCTCCGCAGTGGAACCTGCGGGCTTTCCATGTGTGCCCGCGCCTGCGGACGCCGCATCATCTGAGACTGAATCGGAGGAAGGCGTGATTCCGCAGGACGCCCCGCCCTCTCCGCCGGGGGACCATCCGGGGGATGCCTTGCCTCTGGAGCCGCTGGCGGAGGGTGACCCCCTGCACGGTACCGACCTGGACGGTTTGCTCCGCGACGATCGCTGCTGGATGGAGCACCAATTCCTGGCATCCTACACGGAAGCCACTCGTCGGACACTTCAGGCCAAGTTCTCGCGCTTCCAGCGATTCTGCGAGGCGAACGACCTGGTCGCGCTGCCTGCCCGGCGGGCGTTGATCTACCGCTACATTCGTTTTCTTCGGGAAGAGGGCAAGGTGGGCGTGCGGTCGTTGCCCCAGTACCTGGCCGCGATTTCAATGATGCACCATGTCGCGGGCCATTTGGGTTTCTCGGCCTTCGACCCGGTCACCCGCATCCTCACCCGCGCTTGGCGCCGGGTGGCCCCGAGCCCGGTGCAGCATCGCCGACTGATCCCTGTCTCGCTGCTTCTACACATTCTGGACGTCGGAATGACCACCGAGGACGGGCCCACCCTTCGTGCAGCGTGTGCGGCCCACCTCGACTACATTTTCTTTAACCGGGCCCAGTCGGGCCATTACATCCTGGTCGACGACGTTCGCATCGATGAGGAGGTCGTGGTCTTCCGCGAGCGCAAGACCAAGCTGTGCCCCGGGGAGGAGCCCCGGTCGCGCTGTTGCTCGTGGCCTTCCCGCGGCGCTCCCGAAGTCGTCACCCTTTTGCGCCGCTGGACTCATTTTCGATATCAAGCCTGGGCGCAAACGGACCAGCAGCCGCGCCATTTCTACCACCTTCCCGGCGATGTCACCCCTTCGTCCAAGATGGTGGCCTCCTAGTTTACGTCCCTGCTCGCGCACTTTCCGGACCTGGCCCACGAGCCCTTCACGCATCATGGCCTGCGCGGTGGGGGTGTGTCCAGCTGCTTTGCCTTGTAGGTCGCGGAGCGGCGCATCCGGGATTGGGGTGGGCGGAAGTCAGACGCACTGTGGTCCTACATAGATATTTTCCGTTTACCCACTGAGTGGGATTTTTGGCTTTTCGGCTGGATGACCATCACCGCCCGCGACCTGCATGAGCAGTTTGGGCACATCTTCTGCCCCGGAGGGGCCTCGCGTTCCCTAGAGTGACTGGGCAAGTTTGACGGACGGGAACCTTGGGAATGTGACATTGGATGGTTGTTTGTAATTATTGTCATGGGGGTACATGACGGGGTGGGCTCAGGAGACCGGTAAGGCAGAAATGAAGTTAACTATCCTGTTAATGGGTTTCTGCCAAGGGCGACGATGGGTGGGCTGCACCGGCGATTCAAACGGTGCAGTTTGAACCTGGGGTTTACTCAACCCCGTCCCTTGGGATTTCTGGCCACCCCTAGTACCGTGGGTCAGTCAGAGTATGGTATTCCGAGGTGCCGCCTGCGAGGGCGCCCTCGAGTTTGGCAGGCTTTGGCGGGGCAGCGGAGGGCGGCTATTTAGGCAGCCCCTCGGTCCCCCTCCTTATCTTGTTTCGCACCCAGCCCTCCCGCCCTGGATAGTGGAGTTCGGGTTAGTTGTGGGATGGAGAGGGAGTTGAGGGAGTGAAGTACGGGAAAGGGTGCTGACTCATGGGGAGTCACTCACTGAAGTGGCGTTGAAGTACTAGCGAAGCGAATGGGCAAGTTTGACGGACGGGAACCTCGGGAATGTGACATTGGATGGTTGTTTGTAATTATTGTCATGGGGGCACATGACAGGGTGGGCTCAGGAGACTGGTAAGGCAGAAATGAAAGGAAATGAAACACGTTAATACAACGTTAATGCGACGAGCACTGATGCTAGTGCCTCCACAGTTACTCAGTCTCAAATGCATGCTCATTCTAGCAGCACAGCGTTGATCTGTGATGATGAGCTTGTGCTCAGTGGAGGAGACCCTTCGCACTTTGCTTCCATCGTCGTCTTCTTGGTTTGGCTACAGGACCTTGTCGGCTCTGCCGCCAAACATGGCGTGGGTGCGGAATGGAAGGGTCCATACCGGCATGACCAAAGATGATACCGTGAGCCTTGCACGTGTGGATGCAATTTGACCAGGGCATACAACAACTTCAACTCTGCAGACCCCCCACGCCTTTCAGTCTTGCCATGATTTCTCTTGGCCACACATGATGGCAAGCACAATGTCGCAATGCCCAACATGTTCAGGCGCTTAGCGTGTGATTGATGATGGACACAAGTTTGCAAATCAAATCCTGAGGCAACATCATTGAAAGTACCGAAACATAGTGTAAGGCTTTGCTTACTGCCTTACAAGAACCAGTTGTTTGCCAAACTCATCATATCGAGTATGGAACGGTCTCAACGAATGTGCTGCAAAATAGCATCGCTGGGCACCGATTTCTGTCGCAGGAAGACATTACTAAGTGTTTGAAATCGATGCTATCAGCCCCCGCACCAACATCACCTCCGACATTCGCCTTACTGCTACAGCCAATCACCTCAGATTGGGCGATGACTGACGTTGGTTACGCACAAGTAATATCGCTGCGCAATGCCAGCATGAAGACCATGGTCATCTATTTCGCGGCATATCAAGCAGGGGGGCATTTTGTTTATTGAGCACGCCAGACCAATGCTATCACCTGCCACCTTCCATGCGGCAAGCTTGCGAGGGGACATATGATGGTGACGAACTGTACGCAGTGCCTGCAAGTGGGGAACGTGGGCGCATAGTCATTGGAAGATGCAGAACATGGACCTAAGAGTGGCCTTATCCAAACCAAATTGAATTGAATGGCGAACATGTAGACTTGCGTGCTCATGGCCTTCCCAGCTGGTGGCACAGCGGTGACGGTTATTGCGGGAAATCGCCATCGTCCAAGCACGTGTCCATGAGGCACCACTATGGTGGCGCGTTGGCCAGGCTGCCAAGGGCACCATCGCACACTTAAACCTTATCGCCTCTTCTTCCCAGCCTCGCATCCACTTGCTACTTGCGTTATTAAGAGTCTTGGTCATTACGCCGTCAAATGTCACGTGTCAAACCCCGACCCAGCACGGAATGATTTGTGTTGCCCACATCACCCCCATGGTTCAGGTGACCCTCAGGCCCTTGTACTGATTAGTCAGTTTCAGGGCCCTTGGGCCAAAACTATCTTGCTCGATGACCTTATTCCCTCTTCCTCCCAGCCTCGCACCCACTTGCGTCCCCAAGTTTCTTAGTCATTACGCCGTCAAATGTCATGTGTCAAACCCCGACCCAGCACGGAATGATTTGTGCTGCCCACGTCACCCCCATGGTTCAGGTGACCCTAAGGCCATAGTACTGGTTAGTCACCTTCAGGACCCTTGGGCCAAAACTGTCTTGCTCGATGACTAACACAAGAATAAACAATGCAACTGCCCAAACAATCCCTGCTGTTCCAAGGTGCCGCACAAAACTCCAGTTCAGCGCGTCTGTTATTGAATCGAAATGATGCCTTTGACCTGGAAGCACCTGGCGAATCTCCGCACCGATCCCAGCTAAATTGCGCACACCAACAGCACATGCCAGCACATGCCACATAGTGCGCACAGTACTTCCAGCGCCTCCAAAACGGGGTGTAGCGACACTGCACAAACTTCTGTTGCTCATCCCCCACCATGCGCAGAACATCCTAATTGACGTGTCATCCGCCTGTCAGTCTTGATGCGTCGATTGCAAGGCACGCAGGCGGGCTCAACATCATTCCACCCTCCTTGCCGCTCTCCACCTCACCTTGAAAGCACAAATGCAATTCATACGAATCAGTTGGCAGTCGTGCACCAACTCGAGAGTGCCAACAGGTTCCCTGAAGTTTCGACACCAGCGTCCCTAGTGCAGGAGGAGCAACGACCACTGATCATCACATCAGTGCTTTCCGGGTGCCATTGCGGCCACGAGGGGATTGTTCTGTGCACTGCAAGTAGCCTGACGTCGGTCAGCTGTCTTGTGCCATGTGGTCAGAAAGTCAGGGGTCCATACCTTTCTTGCGCTGCACTGCAGTGGCATTGTCCTAAAAGACCGCACTGGATTGTGCAGCCCCTACAGAAGAGCGACTTGCTCAAGCATGTGGTGCCCCCAAGGAACGCAACCCACCTGTCCACCAAGCAGCTGCCACATCGCCCACAATGTCACAACTGCAGCTGCAGCAGCTGTTGGCCACAGATTTTCCTGCAACGACAAAGGATTGCAAAGAAGCTCAGCCAGAAAAGGGTCTCTTGCAAGCGGTCATCCTTTGTTCATCTTTTGTTCACTCTTTGTTTATCCTCTGTTCACGGCATCTGCAAGGGACGGCTGTTTGGACGTGCGAATGCGGCTGGTGACAGCGTCCAGAATGCTCAAGCGCCCAGGCATTGGAGAAGTCAAAGAGCAGCACACATGCCAGCGGCGCATCCAGTACCTGCCAAAAACTCTCCGTCAGGACAGCGTCATGCACGGTTCTGAGAACGTCTTGCACCGGAGCTGGCAGTGTGCCGAGGAAGTCCGAAATAGCCGTCTCCACAGCATCACTGATTGGCCTCCAATACATGTTGGCAACCTGATACAAAGACGACACCAAATCGCTCAGGCGCCTGATGTGGCTGGCACGGAAGATGTTCCACTGGCGCTTTCTTAAACCCAACACCTCAGGAAGCAAGCACAAGCCGCTTTGTCATGATGCATCACCCCGAGGCGCACGACTCCCGCTGTGACAATAGAATTCTGGCCAACAGTCCACTGCATTCTGATGCATTTACACATCTCTCAGTGCTTGTGCTGATCTCCCTTATTGCTTGTCCTGACTGTCAAATATCCCTCCCTGTCTTCCCTTGGGTGTCATCACGCGCCTCCATACATGTCATGGCAGAGCACAGCAACTGGCACATCTCATTTGAAGCTGTCCATGAGCAGGACGAGGTGCACAACTGCGTCCATCATCGCTCAGGCAAAGGGGCATCGATATGAAAATGAAACCACAAACAGTGCTGAACAAGGGCATCACCGCCTTCATCATACCTTGCCTCCGCTGTTTCCATTCCAGAGTATTGCAAGGCCAAACAACATGAGGAGCAGCATCGAGAACAGCAAAGCGAGCGCCTACAAAGTACAAAAGGCACAAAACCGCAAGTTAAATCCTCATTCAGACATTGGGAGCTTGCTTGCTTCTCACGGGCTTGCCAAGTGTCTGAGAATCGAATTTGGCAGTCTGGTAGATCTCACCAGACACGCAGCGGATTAATGCACCGAATACAAAACAATTCCCACTGAATTTTGCATATAACAAACATAACACTGAACAGTCACCAACAAAGCAATGCAGCCCAATGCAGGAAAATGCTCATTTGCAGTGACCAAGTCCTACTCATCATCTGTATCAGCAATACGAACTGAGGATGAGACAAAAGCTGGGCCGTCCGAGCAGCGTTGTCTCCACAGCAAGTATATCTCGTTGTGAGGAACACCAGACCCCTCTTCCCAAGAATGCCGAATCAAGGCGAACATTTGTTCACAAATTTTGGCACAGTCTTCGAGACATCTCACAACAATTTCTGGTCTTGTGCTTACCCAAGATGAGATGAAGGGTGCAACCATCAAGCTCACCTGTGCACAGCACACAACTCTATATCTTAGTTGTTGGAAGCTTTCTGATTCCGTGCCATTAGGCAAACGAACTGACACACATATAGATTTTGGACTGGATGCGTGCCTGGCTCTTTTTCGGTCCCAGGGACATTCCAACGAATGTCCAAGCTGCAAGGCAGAATACATTTAGATGCCATCCACATTTGCTGATACGTTATCCAGATTGAATTGGCGAAATCATTGTTCACCACATCGTGGCTGCAACACCATATGACCCAACCATCCACTCCCCAGCTTCTGGTTTGGGACCAGAAGTTACAACCAGGAAGCAGTCTACAACCAATCAATTGTTGGATATCTCCACCAATGCCGTGACAGCGACCCTAACACAATTTCTCCACAAAGGTACACTTCCACAAGCAGCAAACGATGGGTCATGATATCAACATGGCACCATCATCCATGGCAGTTGCCAGCCAGTTCCCAAAATGTGTGACCAGGGATCCCTTATGCACATTTTATTTTCAAGACGCGCATTCATGGCTGTTCTAACTCATCCTGTGCACATGCAGCAACAGAGCCACAAACTTCCACAGTTTCCGTTGATTCACTAGACAATACAAGGTACCACAGAGTTGAAAATGGGGATATTTCGATTTGGACGCGCCAACATGCATGCCACACGTTGGCAATGCTACCTGGCAACCTGTGGGTGATACTGAATCCATCGCATATGATTGAGAATGGCAAGCATCACCTACCGTAAAGATGAACAACAGCATTATGACTGCAGCCACCAAATGCGCCATAAACCATGCCTCGTCCTGCAGGACAAATCGTGAAATGATGAGTGGCAGCAGATTGGGAGGAGCCCTGAGTGCAGACTGTTGGTGGCTGAGGCCCTCTGGGAATCCATGCACTGATTCAATGCAAGGTCAACATGTCTGGTTTTTGCAGCTCATGCAGGCACCAAGCAATTGCAATAGAATGTCATATACTTGCTGTCCTTTTCATTCAACACACACTTTCCAGTCACTGCACAACAATAAGCCCCTGCTACTTGTCATGGACCAGGGATTCCCTCGCTGGGCTAGGGCAGCCTTTCATAACAGCAGGTTGGGCCCAGAAAGTCATTGCCTCGATCCCAGTGCTCCTCTGTTTTCCATTGCACATTTGATTCATCCCACAGACAAACAACACGACACCATCTGTTGCTGCAGTACTGTATCTGTACATTCTCATACTGCTTCAGCCAACACACAACAGAGTAGTAAGTCTTTGGTATCAACACATTTGACACAAGCACTGTGTTTCAGAAAAGAGCTTTACAATGCAAAACGTCCATCACCATACACAGTCCCAATTTCAGTCTATCACTTTATGTTACATGTAAGTGAATCATTCACACACTCTATGCTTCATATGCAAATCGAGGTAGTGTCAAGATGATTCCAAAATTCCTTCTTCTCCAAGAAAACAGTGACAGTGCAGCCCAGAAACATGTTGGGGTCTGTGGCTGTACACCAAATAGCATGCGATGCTGTTTACGAGACAAAGGCTGGAGTACCAATCAGTACTGCAAACTTATGTTGTAGGTTCTTTCCTTGTAACTTCAACATTGATCGCTTCAATTTCCATTGTTCGAATCTGAAACCACAAGGTAAAAGACTCAACAGTTGGCACCACAGCGGGAATGAATCCAACAGAACTGCAGAAATTGGTGCAGTTTTGCAGCGCACCTCCTTGTAACTGGGAAGCAGCAGTGTTGTAAATAACATGAATGCTGTTGATTCATTTGTTGCACACGTGGGTTAGGTGATGCTGTTGGCTGATTCCCAACAGCTGACAGTTATTGCACCAGTTCAACTGTATAGGCTGCCAAACGTTGACTCACAGGTCGCATGTCACAATTCCCTGCCTACATATGGTGTCACGTGTTTTTGCTTTTAACACCTCCACTCCCCCTCCCCTTACGCCCTGCAGCCTGCATGAACTTTTCATGGTTTGCTACTTGTATGGGCTCATCTGCAACTTCCGGTTTTCGATGGTACACTCATTTTACACTCTCTCTTTTTGTCAGCACTTTGTTCGATTTTCGCTGTTCCTGCCTTTCCAATGACAGAAATTTGACATCATTGACAATCAATGCTACCTTTGGAGCAATGATCTGTTGGATCCAGTCTTGAACACCACTGATGAGGACACATCCTATGCCACTTTCGTCCAATGATGAGTAATTCGCACAGGAGACAACCCCCACAACCAAATCCATGTGGGGTCCTGCCAGCCTGATGTCATCAGAGTCGATAACCAGCACAGGGCCACCTGAGGCACCTGTTGCACACATCCTGTAAGCTGGTACACATCTGGTGGCCACAAAGAACAGAATGCCATAGAACCACACAGGAATCTTGAAACAGACACACAATAAGTAGATGCTACAGGACAGCAGCCAGACAGATGTTGCCCAGCATTGTGAAACTTTTGTACCAGCTGCAGCAAGCCCTTCATCCTGCAGCAATATACCAGTTAGCTGCTTTGTGCTGCAATCATCCGCGCCCCGGCAGAAACATCCAGCTATCGGCAAACGTGAGGCTTATCACGCCAGTGGCACAACGCGGCACGGCGAGAGACCACGGGGTAATGTATTTGGAGACAATTATACCGTGGTGTCTGCCGACATGCCTTGATGGGCACAAAAGGCAGTGACTTGGCTGACTATGCTATCAATGCCTACAATGCTGGCTGTCAAACCTGAACCTGAATTGAGGGATGGCAGTGGTGGAGGTGGGAATGGCCAAGTTTTTCCCTGAAATACAGATGGAAAACCTGTTCCATTGCAAGTGTTCGTGGACCACTGTGTTGTGTGCAGCAATTGTCTTGAGACTGCAAAATCTGTGCTGGCACAATGTCTGCAGCAGCAAAAGTAAGGATGTCCCCAGTTTGTCCCAGCCTATTACACAGACTTTGCACACATGTTGGAGAGCCTGAACCAAATTCTGGAACCAGGAGACATTCATAAGTTTCGGCTGCCTCGCACTTGGGAGTCAAGGTTCGTGCGCGCGTGCACTCCGCTCCATCCAGCTGATTAGCACTTGAATATTGGTTTCTTCAGTGTGCTCAGTGTAATTTGATAACAATCAAAGGATACATCCATATTATGCAAATGTACCTCAAGTTCTGCAACTGAAATGGCTGGGGAAGTATATGATCCTAATCAGCAGAATCTCCAAATATATGTATACGACTGTGAAGGATACTCCAGCCTAACACTGGACGTATCACCTGGCCTTGGCACAACCTGCTGTCCTAGGACAAGATGGCAGAGCAGGCCCACCGGATCCCAGGAATGACAGCCAATCAGTTCCACACTGAGTTGCCACAGTGTCCGTGCAACAGTACTGAACACAAAACAGATGCAGATGCTGTGAATGTCGAACAAGGACTAGCGACGGTGGCCACAGTACCACAAAACAATAGCTTTGCCCTTCCATGAGGCAATAATGTCACCAAAAATTTGTAACCAGCTTCAGTTCATACAGCTGTATTTCTGCTGTGTATACAACTGCATTCATACTGCAAACAGTACTGCATTACTACTGTGCATCTAATACTCCATACTACCAAGTGAAATATGTTGCCTACCCTATTCTTGCTTCAGCTGCAATCAGCACATACACGAATGTATGGATGCACTGGCAACAATGGATAAAACCTTCAAAACAATGGATAAAACCTTCAAGCCCTGTTCGATTCTTATCCAGTGTCAAGTAACCCTTTCATATGCAAGCTGCGCACACATTCTTACTCTGAAATGTGATCAACACTGTGTCGCATACCCGACTGCATGTTTGCAGAGCTTGAGTAGGCACAGAACATGCTATCATGCAGATCGTCCAGCATGGGGCACAGTTCGTTGTCAACGATGCTGAACTGTGCAATGTCCAGAGAGGCACCTAGCTTCAAGGCAAAGACTCTCGAGTTGGGTCGAAGGGTGAAACTTCTTGGTGCCAATGAAGGGAATGAAACAGTCACTTCTCGCGGTAGCTTGAGCAGAGTAATATCATACCCTTCATCCACCTTTCCACTCCACCTCGGGTGCACATGTGCCATTTCTGCACGCTGCTCCTGCCACAAGAGCATTCAAGAAAACCACGCCAACTGTCACCACCACAGGTTAGAAAACAGCAAGCTGCGAAAAGTTACTGAGCAACAGACCAGGCATTAAACGGTAACAGTGCTGGTCTCAGACATTCAGATGCTATCATATCTTCCAACACAGGGGCATTGATGTGTTCAACCTGACCTAGTCGATACTTCTCTCAGGCAATGGTAGTATATTGTAATTGCTTCAATTATCAACAAAGAGGACCAAAAATGCAATGCCGTTGCCAACTTAGTTGTGTTACATTTGGCTTCACAGGGCAAAGTGGAGACCGTGCCAGTACCCAAGGGGCCAAGCACACTGGAATTGTTTGGTGGTCCCCTTCCCTTCATTTTGTTTATTTCTTTGCTGTCATAACCAATCTGCAACACATGCAAACAGTGGCCAAAGGCAAGGAAGGAAAGGAAATACTACGTCCATGACCAAGAAAGTTGACAAACTTCCAACTAACTTTCATGAGTTGAAACGATCATGACTGATGTGCCCCATTAATGAGTCAACCCATGCTAACCAGCCTCACACAATTCCTTCACACTTTGGTCCACCCAATGCAAGAGTAATGTGAACCTCAGAAACAAGCAAGAAGAAAGAACAATCCACAGTTCTGCAACGACAACAGTGCTACCACCCTTGTGTCCAATCTGGAGCGAAATATCACCAAAGGTCCTTGGGGAAAAGGATTGAGGTCAAACATGGTATTATAGCACTAAATTTGACAACATGTCGTTGCGCTCATGTTTTGTGCTAGCCATAATATAGGAGATCAAAAAGAATGTTCATCACGATGTCAACGCGATCCAAACAAAAATGACATGGCAATTTATTGGTAAGATCTTGCAACTTTCAAAAAGACTCTAACTGGATAAACTGTAATGGCCAAACACCATTGCATAAAATACTTTGTGTAGGGTTTGTTGCATGTAGACTAATTAACAAAGCTTAGTGCCCTACATCTCAGTAGTTTAGTACACGTATATGTGGGTGGCCACAATGTTTGAGCTTATGCTTTATCATGCCACACAACCCATGGCCTATACTTGTCATTTTAATGTGGTTGTGGGCCTCTATTCACCCCATGTAGATCCCTGAAGGACTTGTAACCAAACTCATCTTGGCATTGTTCCACACGTTAATAAACCCAAAGATGTTGGTTTCGTTGTTGAGTCAAGTTACTGGAAATCGATTATGTAGTCTCCACCACAACACCTATCAAGTTCAACTTCATACCGATTAGTGTGGAATGTGATTTTGAATGCATTCATAAAAGAAAATGACAAAACCCAACACAAGGTTTGACTTTTCTAGCATGTGTTGTATACCTATGCCTGAAAAGGTCCGAGTAGATTAGCTTGGGTATAAATGCCCTCTTGTTGTGGAAACACATGGGGGTCGAGAGGATTATGGCCATTAGTCGTGGTTGGCTAGTCATCTGTGGGATTAGACCCATTATTTAGATTCTTTGTGATCTCTAGATACTCGTAGACTCTTTACTTGTCTAAATCCTCCAGGTATGGAGTACTTTGTGGCTTAGGGAAGTCCCTATACTTAAGGGACAAACCGTGGGGGTAGACTGAGCTGCGATATATCGATAGTGGGTCCGATATGGTGGTATGCCGGACGATACAGTCGTGACACATTGATGTACATTATGTGGCGTCTGTATGACGGGTGGCCGGACCGGAATGTGGCCGACCACCAGTACGTACGCGGGGGTGCGTTGCTCCCCGCTCTGTTACCCCGTTTGGCTCACTGCCTCGCTCCGCACGGGCCTCGCGACCCGGGGAGCCAGCTGCCTTGCTACCCGCCATCTTCGAATGGCATGACCGCCCGATCCCAGAGCGCAAGAGGGCCCACCGCGCAATGAACGAGCGAGCACCCTGATTACGCCCGCCGGATTCGGCGGAGGGGCCATCGGCCCAACCGGGTGCAGGCGGATAAAGTGGGACGCGCGGATAAAGTGGGACGCGCGCGACAAAGGGGACCAGCGGAGGCCATCGAAAAGGGCCCCGCAACACCTCTAGTCTAAGGATTGAATGGTCATTGATGAGCTCCACCTGCATGGGGCGCAACTAATTTGGCCTATCTATGACCCAAGGTTCAAAAATCCCACAAGCATTCTTGCAACGTGGACCGGCGATGAGGTAATGCCACCCTCCGTTTGTAGTTATCCATTGTGTGTTGATGGCTGAGGACTCCATGCTCTCATGCCTCTTTGAATACCGCAACCCCAAAGGAGTGAGTTTCCAAGAATGCATATGATCACGTCCACTAGTCGACTTCAACCTATCTCTGCCATCCCCCAAGCAAGTGATCTAGAATCACGAAGCCCCTAGGTAATCCCATTGGTGCGGAAACTTGAATTGGATTGATGGATTGGTGTAATCATATAATGCAATGATGGATACAAGCATAAGAGGTAGCTCTATTACAGAGCCATAGGCAATGACCCAGAATAGGGAGTAATCAATTTTATGCACCCATTTACCAAAGTGAGGGTTGAGGACATCAATGAATAACTATAAAGAATATGGTGTTAAATATTGTGTTGCTAGATATAGTGAATATGGTGTTAAATATAGTGAAATAGACATGGACACACAATGACTACAACCTGAAAACATTTGCACTGAATGTTATTTAACTTGCATGCTTGCCGTATAATACGGGCTATTTACATCTGGTTATGACTTGCTTCATGTGTCTGGGAGCAAATGTGTGCAAGGAGTGTGGTCTTTGTCTTGGTCAACATTCATCAACCTCATGCTGATTTGGAATCATTCATTTTGCATTCATTTCTTGGTGCTATGGTTAGAACAACCACAAATGTTGGTGTTCAATTGGCAGTGAAAAAATGCAAAACTCCACCAATTGGAAACCCTGATGTGCACGGAAGCGCGGTCGGGGGGGCGACACAGTTTTGTGCAAGAACGATGACTACACCGGACATTCAGAATACCTTAGACTCAATCCTCAGTTTCTAGCTTTGATCTATCTGCCAACATGATTTCCTTCCCCTCTGAGTCTAGTTGAACCCTCAACCCCACAACAGCCATGAACTGTATTGAAATAAAGTTGCCTGTCAGGCTAGAATCCAGCAACACCTTGTGGGATAGTTCTAGACTCGACCGGCTCCCTCCAACACGTTTCCATGAATCCGCACGATTGAGCTGACATATGACTCAGCTACAACTTCCCCTATTGATGGCTCCCCTGACGAGTATTCAAGCATTATTCCACTAACTGGCGAAGTATGCCAGGATGGTTGACCTGAATTTATCCTCGACCTTCCCCGTGCCACAGATGAAGAGTTTGGGGTAACCCACGATGTTTCACTTGGGCTCTTGCTAGGGTCTGCATCCACTTGCAAGTCATCAGTTTTGGGAGTACGAGAACCACTTTTCTTTCCCCTTTCAACCAATAAAATGCGACTCTTTTTTTATCAACTTCTAATTCTTTTTGCCCCTTTTTCTCCCCTAGGGAATCCAGACTTTTTTCCTAAACGCCATAACTCATGGGTGCATGGGGCCAACAAAATCAATTTGTCTATTTCTTGGTCTTCTTTAGGGCCTCCCTTGCCTTCTGCCAGTTAGGGCAATCACGCACTAAATGATCTTTGTTAGACACAAAAAGCAAGGTGGTGGTCCACCCTGTCCCTGTCCACGGCCTCTACCTCTCCCCTACTAGTTCTGCGCTAAAGTTGGCCCTGGCCTTTTTTCTTGGCCTCTTGCGTCACAAAAAGCAACATTGGATTCCACCACAATGACCTTACCCTGTTGTTTGGGCCCTTGTCCCCCCGATTGCACTCCCGCTCTTTTCCCTCTTCCCTTACTTCTTTTTCCACCAAATTTCCTGACCCACTAAATCCATTCCCAGAGGCATCTGAAGTCCACAATTCCATTATGGCTGCTAACCACATTGCAATTGCTAGGTCCTCTTCCACCAACACACACCCACCTAGGCCTCAATCCAAGGCTGCAACCTATGAATGAATGTTGCAAATTCATCCGGGAGACTCATGTCATGGATGCACCCATGGATTTCTCAGAATTTTTGAATATATCCCGAGATGCCCCCCGTACGTCTCAGCGCAACTAATTGTTGCTTTGTTGCCGCCTCGTCACCGGTAGGCTCAAAAGCCCTAATTATCTCTTGGCGGAATCTTCTCCTCGTGGGCATCTTTCCTTAATTAATCCTTGAATCGAGGCCTTTCCGGGCAGCTTGGCCCACGTTCCATGAGATGCCACCAACAACCACCTCTTATTGTGCAGTCCACTATCCATCACCATGTAGCTAGTCTCCGTTCGTGAAAGAAATATGGCGTTAGCCACCTAGCCGTTTGCCTAATGCCCAACCATTTCAAATTCCACAACAAACCCAACTTCGACAATTTTGCGTTGACAGCAATTCCCACAATCGGCCGCCGCTGAATGCAGTGTTGGGCTTCACCTTCTCCGCCACCTTGTCAGGGGGGTTTCAGAGTCACCCTATGTTGTTTTGATAACACCAACAGGGGGCGAAAAGTCCTGGCCCCTCCAATTTGGGGCCGAAAGTTAGCTCCAGTCCACCAGTCCAGCACTGAATTTCAGCTCTAAGCTACGACGAGCTACACGATTAGGGCCTTCAGAATGCGATTCCTATCGCCACACTTCCTCACAAGCACCATGCCGATCTTCTGTCTCAATGGCGTGGATAGTTTTGCACGGGCGGCTTTGTTTCGCCGCCGCGAATGCATGCTCCTCGAAACGGCGAAAATGGCCATTTTCGCGAAATCGTTGAAAAACTGATGGGTTTCCGGCAAGAGGACCCTTGCTACACAGTATTGCCAAACTATCGATACTTAACAGATTGTTTTCAAATTTTGACCATATACTCTCAAAAGGTATATACTGCTTTGGACAAAATTTCATTGAGAAAATTATAATGTGTGATGAAGAAATGATGCGCCAAATTCATAGAGGACATT